TTAGAGCAATTATATCCTAAAAAAAATTTTTTTTTTCAATTTATTATATTTTTTACAAGATATAAAAAAATGCAATTGTTAAAAAAAAAAAATTAAATCATAAGTGTCAAAAATAAAAATTTGATAATTGTTTTAAAGTTTAAAATATTTCAACCTATAAATTAATATTTAAAATTTTTTTATGTTCATTAAAAGCAGAATATTTAAAAAAAAAATTTTTTTTCAAAGAAGTTAATTTTGTGATAAGAAAAAAAGTATTTAAAAATAATAAGTAATAAAAGGATATTTTTGAAAAAGTATTTTTTATAAAATTTACTATTTTTACACGTAGAATACGAAAAAATTCTTGAAATTACTTCGATGTGGTCACCATAAATTAAAACGAATTTTTTCTCATGAAATTAACTCCCTCAAATATTATTCCATTACCACCCGTAAGATAATAATAAACAATTAACTAAATTAAAGTAATAATAACATAGACAACAACCAAAAACAATATTTAATCACACAATTATTTTCCCATTGTGGTTAAACGGATAAATAGTACCTAAGTATACATCAGTCTTATTTTATTTGTGTCCATTATGTTACATTTTGCCCCCTATAAATATAAATATATATAAATACATATATAGTACCAATAGCAATGACTAACAGTTAATGACGGAATAGATTTCATAGACTGTTAAAGTAGGTGCGAGTAAACTTTACAAAATATCGCACCGGGAGGCAGGCAGTATATGAAATTAAAGGCTCTCTTCACTGCAGCTCTATTCTCATTCTCTCTCTCATTCTCTCAGAAGCAGAGTATCCTCTTGTAATAATATAAACGAATCTGAAAAATAGTTGTGCCGATGCCGAGTGCCGGAGAGTAGATGGACGGCGCTTCCCACACGTGTCAAGTCACGTGTACAATAATTAGATATTCTTTAGGGTGTGCATTAGGTGTAGCGGTGGAGTGCCAGTGCCGAGTGATGTTATCCCACTTACTGCATATATATATATTATTGTTATTATTATTATTATATACTAATATAAGTGTGTACACATTGTAGTACAAAGCTTCCATTAGACACTGACGCTTCTCTCATTATTTGATCTTTTTTTGACTACTTTTTCACACCCAAAAACATTCTCACCGCCGTCACACCCCCCGACACGGTTTTATTAATCGCCGATGGATCTAACAGTTGGATAGCATGCAACTTGACTCATATCAATTCCGTCCCCTTCGATCAGCAATCAACAACCAAAAAAATCACCTCAAGTCAATCATTTTTATTACACGGAGAGAATTAAATTATATCATCTACAATATCAACACAGAGTGTAATTAAAAAAATTTTACAATAACTAGATGACAATTTTTACTATTTAATTTTCTTTATGTAATTTGCATATATTGTATAACTAAAAAAAAGGATGATTAAAATCTTCGATAGCGAATTAATACATAAATTGAAGATATTAAATGTATAAAATGTAGCTGTCACGCATTGAAAATCCACACGAGACATAATTTTATTACGAGGGACTTTTTAAAGGTTTATTAAAGTGTCGTTTCCGTGGCGGTATATATTTTGGTATAGGCAGCTTCGTGTTTATATGCACATAAATGAAGGCACCAACGAGCTGCCTGACAACTTTGATAATTGCCAGTAAGCGTAAAACCAGTTAAGAGTCTTGTTTGTCATTTCGCTACTGTATGTTACTTTACAGGCCTATCCAATATCGCGGATCATTTAAGGCACGAACGTACACACCTGGGAATACTTTTTATCTTTTTGCTGCTGCATTAATTATTACACTTTTTTTATATGGATACAAACTTTTTTAATCATACTGATACTAATTGACAACTGATGACTTTGAATTTTTTTTAAGATATGATTTAAAAAAAAATATTTTAATAAAAATAAAAATAAAATTTTAACAATTAATAATTGATCATGGAATAAATTGAAAATATTATCAAAAATAGTAAATAATAGCTTTAATTAAAAATAACCCTTTGAACTTAAATATTAATCTATTAAATTTGAGCTATATCTGTCTACAATAAAAAACTATTTCCATTAAATTAACTACATTCAAATTAGTCGAAAAATTAAAAAAAAATTTTGCATCATTAATTTACCCAATTCTTTTTTTAATTTTGATAAAAAACATTTTTTTTTTTTCACTGAATATTTACTAATTAACAGCTACAATGATTTTTAAACTTGTTATCATAAACAATACTACACTTTCCATCAATTCACAGTTAATAAATCAATTTCAATACTCCCATTCTCTCGAAATTTTCCCAGCGAAAAAAAAAATAAACATTTACAATTTCCCAGCTAAAAAAAAAAATAAATAAACCCCGAAAATTAAAGCTCACAAAAAAATAAAGCATACGTGTGCGCTCTATTATTTTTATATTTTTACTCTCATATTTATAAACCAAATTTTCTCCACACCCACACGTACTCGCATTACACGTGGCTATGGAAAAACAAACCGTATAATACCGGAGAAAGATAAAATAATAAACAAGTTAATTTATTATCACAAGGACACGCGTATACAAATTACACTTTTCCATGTCATGTACTCGTTAAACGTTTCTTTACATACCCCATGCACTTTACATCCTCACCCCCAAATTTATAGCCTCTACACTCTATACTGTACAAAAACCTCCTGCTAAGGTAAAAGCACCAATTACTGACACTATAAGGGGAGAGAGGTAATAATTTTTTTTTGCTATATATTAATTACTCATTATTTATATCCAGTATTTTGAAATTATAAATCATTAAATTTATATTAAATAAATAATATTGTTAATTTTTCATATTTGATTTACTCACAAAAAAAAATGTAATGTGTCAGCGTTTTAAAAAAATTTTTTTATAGTTATAATAGTTAAAATAACGGACGCTCACGATTCATTTTTATAAACTCAAATAAACTTTATATTTTCTATTAATAAATATTTAATATTGTTTACTAAAAAAAAAAATTAATTTCAATTTCTTTAATTATAAAAATTGTTCAAAAAGGCGTACAATTATTATTACCATTCAAAGTATTTAAATATATCATAATGTCGTCAATAGTTGATGCTTTTAGCTTAAGTCAACAATTCAGAAAATACTAACCACATATTTTTTTATGTTCTTCACTCATCGCAAATAAATGCAAACACCCTCTACCTCTGCTTGTTCATATCCAACAAAATGCCCGAGCTGATCGATAACCGCAGGCACTATTATTACAAAATGTAAATAAAACGCAGCGTTACTTGTAAAAAAAAAATTGAAAAAATAAAATTGATGTGTCCAACCCAACCCTTTCCCACTCGGGCCGAGTAATTAAAAACAATTACCGTTTGCAAGTAACCCCTTGGGCCGCGTAATGAGGGCTAGCATCAAGGTTGTGGTGAAAAAAAGGCACCGTTTCAAATAAACGGAGCATCTGAGCCCTGAGGATAATGTGGTTGGAAATAAGCACTTCGGAGAACCCCCGTCATTTATGTGAAACATTTGTATGAAAATATTCCTCAGCTCCGATTGCCGGGCATGGATGTTATGTGTTGATAAAGGAAAAGAGTTCCGAGTATAGAATGTAGAATATTGAGAGTTTGGGGTGAAATAGGAAACTACAGTTGCGATGGGATCCGTATGAATATGGGTTCTTACGAGGATACGATAGTTAGTTACCGAGTAATGTATTTGGTGACTGGAGTAGTCGCTAAAAGGGGTAAGTGGTAGTTTTGCGAATCGCAGAAGGGCTAAGGGAAGGGTAAGCGACCACCGCCAATTCTTCTCATTCAAAATCACGAAATAACTTTTACCAGAGAGAGTAAGTAAAAGCTGAGGGGTGATATCACGGCATTACCATCGCTAAGATCCTTTGTGTGGTTTCAGCCAGGAGCTAGTACAGGGGATTAAATTACTGAATAATCTGGCTGTTGAATAGGAAATAGCTAATCAAGAATAAACTCAATTCGGTAATTATTTTAAGATTGCTTGTTTATTTACTGATTTTAAGTTATTAAAAGCGGTATTTTTACTAGATTTCATAGAAATCTAACTATTGCATTTGTCCTTATGAAGGACATTCGTATGTCATGAATTCCTGTTTGTTGTATTTAGCAATAGACTCAGTTTTTTCTTCAGACGTGAACGAAATCCTGAAATAAAGTACTACGAGAAGCAATTTAAAAATCATTTTTTCACTACTTGAAAATCACAACTTTTTTAAGTTTTATTTTTGTAAAGTTTTAAGTTAGAATAGTTACTTATTTAGAGCCATCTTCTCCAACAATTTTTTGTGCAGTGTCAAAAGCAACCAGAGCTTTTATATATTCGAAACTATTGATAAATTTTTATTTTTTTGATCTTCGAATGATCTCGGTATGAATTTTTCTACGTGGAGAACGATTTTTATGATGACCTCGGATAATTCACATCTATCGGTTGATTGATTCATTTTTTTCACTTTTGTTGGCCATAATTTATTATCCAAGTCATTAAAAATTATCAGTTTAGACTTTTTTGCGCATTGAAAATAAAAGAATAAATTATTAAAATATTATTTTAAATTTGATTTGTGTCAAAATGTTAATAATTGTAATTGATTAAATTTTGACACTTCAAGCTTATATCATAAAAACTCTATCTGTATAGTCGTAAAAATTTTTATATTAAGGAAACATTGACATTTGTTATATTTTTTTATCGACGGTTAAGTAATTCTTTTTGAAAATATAAAATTGTTATGAAATTCTTTTTAATTGTTTTATTAGAAGAAACAAACAAACTAACACTATCGTTATCTCTTTAAGAATTCAATAACATTTTTGTGCCGATAAAAATTGGGATTCCCAAAATCAGTTAAAAATAAGCCGCAAAAAAAAATAATTTTTTTTATATATATATATATATATATATATATATATATATATATATATATGAAATTTTCATTTATTGAAATTATATGATAGATCATCAGATCGTACATGACTAAAAAATTATTATAATCATAATAAACTTTTAATTTTTTCAGTTATTACATTTTCAAGCCCGCTGACGTTTTCGATAACAAACAGCTTGAATTCTGGGTCGCTGCCATAATTGGTAAAATCAGAAAATTTTGACAGTACACCAACCAAAACTTTGACATCAGGGTGCGCTTTGAGATGACAGATGAAACTATCTCCAGAAGATTTCTGACAAAAATTGAATAATTGATTATTTACAATTAGCGTTATTTATAAAATTTATAAAATAATTAAACTCTGGTCAGTTTACTTACAGAGAGATCGCGACTGAGGCAATAAACATACTGAGGATCATCAGATTTGATATACGCGGTTTCACAAGACGTGAATGTGATATTCCAACTATCGTAGGATGGAACAAAACAGCTCGTAGTATTGACATCATCAAAATTTGAATTCAGCTGTATGTACCCATTTTCATCAAGTTCAGGTTTTACCGGGTCATCAGTTATCAGAACAGCTACTTGCAATTTGTCTAAGTCATAGGTGTCACTAAAATCCTCGTGATAGTATATGTTAGAAGATTTTACAGTGAGAACACGGCTATTGTTTGAGTAGCCGTGATATAATTTTGATATGTAATATTCATCATCATCACGTCCAAGGGTGTTCCTGTAAATAAAATTCAAAATTTTGAATAAATTTTGTTAATTAACGTTTACTTCTGAGAATGTGTCAATCATTTAAAATTGTTTTAAAAATAAAAATAGTTTCAGTTTTTAATTAAACTCAAAACCAATTTCAGATAAACTTCTTAAGGAAGTCAAAAAATTTTTTTCTGTTTTTTAAATCAATAATTGATATCATTTTATATCTTTAAAAAAAAAAATTTTATAGTAATGATTTACAATAATTAGTGCTATCTGTCGATGCGGGCTCTAATTACTTCAAGTAATCTGTACATTTATTTTTTCACATATTTATGCTTGTTCTTGTTAATATATATTTAATTTTTAGAAAAAATTTTGTAAAATGTCTAAATCAATCATTGTATTTTAGCCAAAGTCAAAAATAATTATTTTTATCTTATAAAACCTCAAACTTATCTCTCTTCTAATGAGACGAATCAGCGAACATGCACCCTCTGTTGGAAATTCTTAGCACTATTTTGGGCCGAAAAATTTTATATGGATATATATGACCATAATAGGCCATATCAAGTCATAAATCGATGTTCTAGTTGGCAAACTGTCTAATTTTATTTTACGCAAAGTAAATTAAAAGATTTTTTTTTTTTTAAATCAATCCAATACTTAAATGTATAATTTTTTTCGCTACGTTACTCAAATGATATTTTTTCGAGCTTGATTATCTAAAAATTTTGAAGAATCACCTCCTGAAAAATATGGACTTAGACAATTTGCCAATTAGACATATCAAAAATTATATATGGACAAATCAGAATTTTTTTTTGACAGAACAATACCGAAAAAAATTAATTGTAAAAATTTTACCTCATCATACACCAAGCATCGGTGATGAACACTCTTGGATTAATAAGCACACCATTGCATTCTTGAAGTGGAATATTTCCATCATAATTTGGAAATGTGACCCGCCATCCGTAAAACATATACTCGTTTTTGTTTGATTTTTCAACAGGTTCTGTTATTTTTAGAGATTTTACAGAAATTATTCCGACTAAAAACACCAATACGATCGATTTCATAATCATTTTTTGTTTTTGGCAAGAATAAGAGTTACTTAATACTTTGAACGATAACCGGCAACTGACGACTTTTTACAGTCGTAAATTCTATTGTTTTTGAATTACACTGACGTAGCAGTTTTTTTCTGATAACAATTAACAAACGGATATTTATTTCTAGTTGGTTTTTTTCATTTTATCAGTCAATTTTTATTATCTACACTCGTGGCTTTAATTACTTAATCGATGATGTAATTAACGCTCTAAATTTATATTTGGAGGAACAGCGATGGACAAAAAAAATAAAAAAACACTAAGACTACGATAATAATTAGTAAAATTTAAGTGAAATGACACTAACGTTTTATGAGGAATAATAATGATTGCTCCTCCGGTGAGCAATATGCCAAGGGACCTTGAATAGTTAATTTTAAAAAATGAAATTTAAAACGACAGTTGACAAATTGTGCGTAAAAAGGGTAGTTGCACGCAATATCGCAAGTAATTGAACAATTTGCCTACAGATGGAGTTTTTAGTTAAAGCATTTCATGTCTATTACGTTCTCTCTGCGGAATATTCGTCTATCCTTATGCCGTATGCTCTGTTCATTCTCTTCATCATACTTCTGTTGCGCCTTCATTTATTCTTTTTCCCTCATTATTATGCATAACCACATACCTACTATATTAAAAGCCTCTGTGTAAATACTTGCGTGATTAAAAATGTTGTCATGGAAATTTCTTAATTCACTTTTAAATTAACTGCTTTATACTCCCGAAAAATTTTTTTCTTTGCTTTTTAAAAAATTTTATGATATATTCGATCTAAATAATTCTCATTTCAAGACATAGTTTTTCAAAGTAATATTATTATTATTATTATTATTATTACCATAAAAAAACATCATTTCCTACACTGCCTACAAGTAAAGCGTCGGAAACCGGATACGATTGTTTCAAAATTATTGTTCGTGAGTCGACTCGACAAAAGAACTAGCTCTAAAAGTAAAGGGTGAGAAGTTGCTTTTTTGTCCATTCAACTTGTCTGGGGTTAGTTAAATATTTTTCCGTACAAACATACAAGCACAGTTTGAATCCTTTTCAACATCCATACACATAGTATATGTGCATGTGTAACGACAATCTCACACGCTGCAACGACGCGTTCATCGACTGCTATCTAGATCTTTATGGCTCGGTTTAGTTACACCCGCTGTTAAAATGGTCAAACATATCCCGGGGGTGATTCTCAACTGTTTTCATTTGCTGATTCTACCTACCAACCTTTCAACGTTTTTTTCAAGGAATTCCTCGCCCCCGACAATGTCTACTCGACTGCTCGAAAAATGGCTGAAAATAAAAATAAAAAAAAAAAAAACAAAATTATTTTCATTAACTGTCTACCCTTGGAATTTCACCATGGAAATATTTTCCGACTTTATTAACTTTATACTACGTACTCAAACGGACAAAAAAAATTAACCAAATACTCATTACTTTTAATCATTATTTTTTTCTTCCACTTCAACACATCAATATTGAATATTTTAAAAATTACATGCGAATCGCTATTATTTTAGTAATTGCAACGCCAGTTAAATGTCAGTACTCTAATCATTGTTATAAGAAAAATTTTTTTTTTCATTTTTGGGTGAACTAAAAAATAAAAATAATAAATAAATAAAATAATTCAATATAACGAATGATAAAGGTCATAGATCCATCAACAGACGTCAGTTATTTCTAATAAAAGTCAGCAAGGGAAGATATGAGAGTCTACTCGCATATATCAGAAATGTGCAATTTATTCTTCCATGATAAAATTTGTCGGAAAAAATCTAATAAATATCATGATGACAACGGTATGATATACATACAGTCGGATCGTTTTGTAGCTGTCCTAAAAGGACAAGGCGATTAATGCCCGCCATCGAGGCTATTGCCTCAGAACAAATGAAATCTACCAAAGAAGAACTGTACGGTGTACCCGATTGAATGGAACAAGCAATACAACCACGGGATGAAATAACCAGCAAAAAAGTATCAGCCAGCCGTACTGGAGAAATATCGAGATGTCCGTGTCTCTGTCGCTTCATCTTGGATCTATTACCGGTGCGTAAGAGACTAGAATTGAATAGAAAAAATGGAAATAAAAATTTTTAACAACACAAAGTTTTTTTTTTTATTTATTTTAGTTTCCGGATTCCAGGATGATAATTAATGGTTCGATTTTATTGAAGTCCCTTCACATGAAAAGAAAAAAATTTTTTCGGTTTAATTTAATCATAAAAGTAACCAATCAATGAACAAATAAAAAAATAATCGTATAATATTATGAAATCATGACGTAATAAATGATTTTTTTATGAGAAAAAAAAAATGATAAATTTTGATAAAAGCAATTTCAATTTGGTAATAAAAAAAATAATAAGCCCCATTGTTGAATCGAAGCAAACTAAACCGAATAAAAAATTTTAATAAAATTGTTTAAATAAAAATTCAACAAATTATTTAATAATTTTTATATCTGTAATTCTTGAAATATTAAATTGAAATGTAAACTTGAATATAATTATTTATTTTTGCTACATTGGTGTCATTTTAAATAACCAATATTCTGTAATTATTAATATTTAATAATTGTATCGTAGCTAATTTATTCACAGTAATACAATGTATGTAACATGAAACTGAGTGACATTCTATAGCAATGTTTATAGATTATACACGGAGAGAAAAATATGGAAATCATTCCTATAATTTTAATGAAATATTTTCCTATACCATTTTAGGAGCGATTACTTAAACTATGGGTATTATACCCATAATTTTTGGGAAACCTTACTATAATTATGGGAATGGTTCCTATAATTATAGGAACGATACCTATAATTAAAACTGTAATATCGGCATGATTCCCATAATATATAGGAATGGTTCCCATAATATATAGGAACGTTTCCAATAAATTATGGGTATGGTTCCCATAATGAGTATAGGATTAATGCCTATAATGATAATTTTATTATAGGATCCATTCCCATAATTGTTGGAAAGATTCCTATAAATTTCTCTCCGTGTACAATAATTAAAATTTTGATTTTAAAGACAATTTTTTAGAATTGTGTAAAGAAGAAATCTTACTCAGTGAGATTTTTTTCGATTACCGGTTGAATAATAAGTCCTCATATCATATCCGATCGGGTACTTTGGTTAATAATAAAATAATAACTGTCTTTTTGATAAGTAAAAACACTTAATAATTATTATTATTGTTTGCATAGAAGACTTAAAACATTATATTAATGTGTAATTAAAATTAACGATATATCCGAGGTTACCTAGTAATTAAAATGAACCGAAACAATAAAACGAAAAAAATAAAAAAAAAAAAAAAAAAAAAGAGTTAAAAAGGGTAAATTTAGGTTGGCTTATTGACCAGCCAGTGTAACTGTATCATCATCCGTCAGAGAACAGTATACCGTACACAGCTGAAGTATATATAGTATATAGTTTTGTATAATCTGGGTTGTAGCATGACCTAGGGTAATCCGGGTTGTAGAGGTGATGCTAAAGGGAAGGTAACACGCTCCAAGATATATTCTGTTTGTTAATTTAGCCTTATGTCACACTGTTTCGTGATTGCTTATATGTTACTACGTCTACAAATGAATTAGTTATTACCTTTTGGCATGCATGCAAACGCCACTTATTTATTTAAAGATATGTATTAAACTTTCTGATTTTTTTTTTATAATATATAAATTGATAAAAAAAGTTATCAGTTATAATATTTATTATTATTTTCATTATGAAATTAATCAGTTGCAGCAGTTGGTATTTTTTTAATCTTGAATGGTATACATGCTTGTAAATTGAAATAAAATTAATTAAAAAAAAAAGAAAAGTTAATTAAAAAAAAAATTTCTTAAATAAAATAAAATTTCCAATTGTTTTGAAATTCCAAATTTTCAAATGTTTTCGCGGTTCAACGTATGTATTGTAAATAATTTGCTTTAAAAATAAAATGAAATTGTGGAAATAAACAATGAATTTCCATATCTATTTTGCTTCTACAATTGTATAGTGAGAAAATATCCTTTTTATTGGAGAATGAAATTGCTACAATATTTTTCAATATTATTTCACACAATAATAACTGAGCTGGAATAAATAATTCAAGATTAAGAACATACGTGAATAAAAATTATGAAAAAGAAATTTTTTTACTCTAGTGAAAGATCAATTTTTATTTACAAAAAAAAATGTTATTAGCAAAAAAATACATGATAATTACTTTATATTTTTGAAGTGATTGCTTCATTATTAAGAAAATAAATTTTTTTCTATTATTATGTGCGTCATTCCCATAATATATTGAAGCTATTCCATTATTGTATAGGAACGTTTCCCATAAATTATGGGTATGGTTCCCATAATGAGTATAGAATTAATGCCTATAATGATAATTTTATTATAGGATCCATTCCCATAATTGTTGGAAAGATTCCTATAAATTTCTCTCCGTGTAGTGATACATTACTTCTTACTTAGTTGTAAAGTAACATAGTAATTATTAGCAGAAAAATAGTAATTAATTTTATTCTAAATAGTATAATTTACAATTTTATGAAAAATGAAGCTGGTTACTAATTCTAATTATTAGGTAGAGTTGTAAATATTATTATTTTATTTTCTCCATGTAGAGTGTGAGGAAACTTTTGTTATAAAAAAAAAAAATTACCAACACTAATAATCTCTAATGCGATGCTCGTATTCGAGAGAAATTTATGGAAACAAAAAATAAAATTGAGTTAAGATATATAAGAGCTAGTGAGTGAAAGGAGGAGGAGGAGGAGGAGGAGAAGGAGTAAGAGTATAAAAGCCAGAGAAAAAATAAATGAGACCTTTTTTCACGTCCAAATGTGATTATGAGTGATTCCGGCAATATCAACCCTCGAGCAGGACGAGACAGGAGAAAAGAGGAATCGCGGCGGGAAGGGAAAATTCACTTGCCGAGGAAATTA